GACGGGCCTACCGCTACGTGTCCCGGACATACCGAGCACGGTCTCCCTGGGCTGGGCCCGGGACTGAAGGCAAGGCAGGACGCGGGCCGGGGCCGGACCTTGCACAGCCTCCCAAGGCTTCTCCCTGAGACAAGGCTCGGACAATATTTTAACAGTCTTCGGACAAGGGTCACGAGAGGTCATTTTCTCAAGAAACACGACTGCACGTCGCTGCGGGGGTAAGAGGTGACCTTCGTCAAGAGGCCAGCGGGGGGGGGGGGGAAGAAATATGGGACCGGAAACGGAAGCAGGCCGGTAATCCGTAAGGGGAGCGAGGGAAAAAGTACAGATAGGCCGCGCGCGCCAACAGGATTATCGCGAGAACTGGAGTTAGGTCGCCGAGCACTGGGTGGATTCCACCCTCACCCCCTTCCTCTGCTCCTTCCCGCGGCAAAGGATTGCTACGAGTGGGCCTACGTGCATGGGTGTCGACCTTTCACGTAGGTAGAAGTGGCTCCTATCAATTATCTAATTTTCTAATACATATTAGACAGACCTCGCACGCTCCCCCACGGGCCGGTGGTCCCCGGAAGCTCCGCCTCATTCCCATCAGCCAGCAGTGGCGCTGGAAAGGCGGGAAGCAGTGCGCACACGGAGGCCGCTGTGGCCCCTCCTTACTTCCGGGCGAGACCATTTTCTTCAGTCTCCCCCTTGGTCTCCTTGGGCGATGGTGCCTTCCTCGGGTTCTGAGTGGAGGCTTCGATCCGGAAGAGGCGGGCTTAATGGCGCTAGGGTTCCTGCGTGTCCGGCGGGAGGGCCGCATTGCGATTGGGGCGCCAGACTGCCGCCATGGTGAGCGGGGTGCGGGCTGCGGGGCAGGGGTCGGGGGCTTTCTTCTGTGAAGCTGAGGGGGTGGAGGGAGCAAGCGGCCGGTGAAGCTCGGTTGGAGGTTGGCGCTCGCGGACGCAAGGAGGGGAGCGGCCCGGCAGAGGCAAAGAGACCGCCGAACCATGGGCCGCGTGTACGTGGCTCTCCAGTGGGCCCGGCCTAGGCGCTCCCACGCGGGGAGGGGGGCAGCGCAGCCCTCGCGGAGGATGGCGTCTTGGGACCTCTTGGAGAGGTTTCGGGGATCGGTCTTTGGGAGCTGGGCGGGGAGGTGGGCCACGTGCTCGGCTGGGGTTGGTCGGCTAAGTGAACCCCATTTATTTCTCCTTTGATCTCTCCTAGGTGCTGCTGCACGTGCTGTTTGAGCACGCCGCCGGCTACGCGCTGCTGGCGCTGAAGGAGGTGGAGGAGATAAGCCTGCTGCTGCCCCAGGTGAGCCCAGCGAGAGGACGGGACGGGGTTGGGGTCCCTCCCCCGGGGCAGCCGCTGCCGGGCTGTGATGAGTTTTAAAATCTGTCAATCCCCTGACCAGAGTGATGTGACCTAGTCTCTGAGCTCGGGGTCTGGCCCGGGTCCTGGAGGGAAGGATTGGAGTGGTGCAGAAAAGAAGCCTTAGGGAAGGCCACGTGCTCCCATCTCCACTCTTAGATCTTTAGCCCGAGTACCCTTTGTTTGCAGTTCTTGGTGCAGGAAGGCGAAGAAAGCATGGAAACGGAGCCATCTCTTTTAGGTCCTGTGTTAGCAATGTGGCGTTTAGTATCTCCCCCCCCCCCCAAAAACATGCTGTCCCTAGACACACTTTTTCTCCATAGGTGGAAGAATGTGTGCTGAACATTGGAAAGTTTCACAGTATCGTCCGTCTTGTGGCCTTTTCCCCATTTAAGTCTGCCCACAGTGCTCTAGAGAATGCTAATGCAGTATCCGAAGGTAGTGGCTCTTTCTTTTTCCTGTGGTCTTTTAGGTGTCACTTGTGCCTTCCTAATTTGAAAAAGTAATCTATGTACTTATCTACAGGCATTCTCCATGAGGACCTCCGACTTTTCTTGGAAACCAACATGCCAGCTAAGAAGAAGAAAGCTTTGCTTGGTGTTGGGGACCCTAAGATTGGGGCTGCTATCCAAGAGGAATTAGGCTATCCCTGCCAGACAGGGGGTGTAGTTGCTGAAATCCTCAGAGGTAAGATTCCAGGTGAACTACATGGAAGCCATGTGTGACAGACAGCTGGGCCTTGATAGTTGATTGGGTACTAGACTACACAGGTAGAAAGATTCCTGTTCAGGTCCTGTGCTCCGAAGGACATTAAAAGGGTTCTGCTTGTTGGCAGTTTCTTATTTTACCTGGTTTTTTTTTTCCCAGGAGTTCGTCTGCACTTTCACTCTCTGGTGAAAGGTCTCACTGAGGTTTCAGCTTCTAAAGCCCAACTGGGATTAGGACACAGCTACTCTCGGGCCAAAGTCAAGTTCAATGTGAATAGGGTGGACAACATGATTATCCAGTCCATCAGCCTTCTTGACCAGCTAGACAAAGACATCAATACCTTCTCTATGCGGGTCAGGTCAGTTCCAGGGTTGACGAGGGAGATGTTTAAGCAGGAGCTGGATTTTACATTGGTCCTCCTTTCACCTCCTATTGCTTACCACAGGATGTGTTTTTTCTTTGCACAGACTGTATAGAAAAAGGAGGCAGAGAGACCTTCCTCTTATACACCTCAGCCAGGAGCCTGCCTGTGCCCTGGCTGTATTGTGAAAGGGGAGACAGTAAAGACTTTGGGAATCCTGGAGGATTGGGTTTGAGGTTGTGAGGACATGCGGTACAGTGGGCAAGGTGTGATTTTTCTCCACTGGACCACCGGCTTTTCTTTCTGCATAAGATCACCTTTTTTTTTTTTCCAGGGAATGGTATGGCTACCACTTTCCTGAGCTGGTAAAGATTGTTAATGACAATGCCACGTATTGTCGCCTGGCCCGGCTCATTGGCAATCGCAAAGAACTGAATGAGGAGAAACTAGAAGCTCTGCAGGAGCTGACAATGGATGAGGCCAAGGCAAGGGCCATCCTGGATGCATCTCGATCTTCCATGGGTCAGTGTTTCTGCTTGAGATGTTTGTGGGTCAGTTGGGGAAGAAGAGGGTATTCTGTTCTTTGCACTGACTTGCCTCCCTGCTTTTCCTAGGTATGGACATTTCTCCCATTGACCTGATCAATATTGAGAGTTTTTCAAGTCGAGTGGTGTCTTTATCTGAGTATCGTCAGAGTTTGAGTAAATACCTGAGCTCCAAGATGTTCCAGGTGGCCCCCAGCCTGTCAGCCCTCATTGGGGAGGCGGTCAGTCATTGGGGTGTGTGTTGGGGGGGACTATTGCCTTACAGCTGTTGTCACTTCTATACCTCTAACCAGCTGACCATTTTCTCCTTGGGTTTGGTTGGGTCAGGAGTGGATGCTCAGGTCCACAACCTTTTATTTTTTCCCCCTCAGGTTGGTGCCCGACTGATCTCCCATGCTGGGAGCCTTACCAATCTGGCCAAGTACCCAGCATCCACAGTGCAGATCTTGGGGGCTGAGAAGGCACTGTTCAGGTACCAATGTTCAGGTACTGACACTCTGGTGCCAGCTGCTAGGGGGTGTGTCACTGTGATGGCAGCGCTGGGGTACCCTGACCCGAAGGCTTTGCCTCGAGTGTGATGGGTCAGCCTTAGCCTCTGAGTGACCCCCATAGCCCCAGCCAGGGGATGCAGCCTCCAGGTCAGCGACATCTGACTCCTGACCCTCATGGGAGTTCTGGGGTGGGGAATCAGGTTTTGGAATTGAAGTGGGGGAGACCTTTGGGAAAAAGGTCCTGGGGGTTTTGGGAGTCTGACCCTAAAATTGTGTCCCTGGGAAGCTAACCCTGTACACTTCCATAGAGCCCTGAAGACTCGGGGAAATACCCCCAAATATGGACTCATATTCCATTCAACCTTCATTGGCCGTGCGGCCGCCAAGAATAAAGGCAGAATCTCCCGATACCTGGCAAACAAATGCAGCATTGCATCCCGGATCGACTGCTTTTCTGGTACAGGACTCAGGGCTGAGGGGGAGGGGGAATAGGGTAATCAAGAAAAATGATCCCAAGTGGCTTCTGCAATGATGGGAAAATTTTTCGTCAACAGCAGTTCACCTTGTGAGTGTTGAATCAATAGTCTGAGCAAAGCTGAGGGTTGAGGTTGGGAGGTCCGGTGAAGGTGGACCTCAACCCCACCCCAACACAGTGTCTTAACAATCTTGTTTCCAGAGGTCCCCACAAATGTGTTTGGACAGAAGCTACGGGAACAAGTAGAAGAACGCCTGTCATTCTATGAGACGGGGGACCCACCCCGCAAGAATCTAGATGTCATGAAGGAGGCAGTGAATGAGGTCAGTCTAAGAAGGGGGGGAAGGAGAGGGAGGGCATAACCTGTATTTATTATATCTGTTGGAGGTGATGAGCATCCTTACCCTGACTCTGGAGTGGAGGCAAAAACTGATTTAATGAGCCTGATCCAACACGGCATGGCAAGCTTATGCTTAGTGCTTGGGGGTTCTGGGTGCTAGCAAAAGCTGTCTGTCCTTCTCTGGCCAGGCTGGGGAAATGGTTGCAGAGATTAGGAGAAAGCAGGCAAAGAAGGAAAAGAAACGGCTGAAGAAAGAGAAGAGACGCCTAGAGGCTTTGGCAGCAGAAGAGAACAGCATTCCTGAGAATGGACAGGTGAGTGTGTAGAATGGACAGGAGGTGGCCCAGGATATCCTGACCACTGGGGGACCACAACCATCAGACTCCTTTCCTGTCCCCGCATATGTGGCTTCTTGTGCTCTTAGGAAACTGAGAATGGGGAAGAAAAGCCAAAAAAGAAAAGAAAACGGCAGGTGGAGGAGACAGAGGAAACAGAAGAAGCCCCTGAGGAGCTGTCCACACCTCCCAAGCTCAAGAAAAAGAAAAAACTCTCATGCTCAGCAGAGGATGGAGTAGCAGAGTCACCAGCTCCAGTGAAGAAAAAAAAGAAGAAAGCCCAGAAGAGCTCTGGGGCTGAGGACTAGGATTTGGGGAGGGCCCAGCACACAAGGCCCAAGACAGGACACTTCCCCTCCCTTCCCTCAAACCCAATAAAGACATGAACTCGACATAATGCTACCTTGGCTTTTATTTCTTCTCCCAGATTTGTCAGGAGGCTTGTGGGATAGTAGGCAGGCTACTAATGATGGCCTGGGTGAGATCCCGGCAGGTGGCATAGCCGCCCATGTCCGGGGTACGAACCTGTGAGGGAAAAGGGGGGATAATAGTTTAACCCAGGATCCTAAAGAGCCTTTCTGAATTCCTTCCCTCCCCCACACGTGTTGGGGAACAAAATTCCCCCCATACTCCTTGTGGATTATAGAGAAGCTGATGGGGGCCAGGATTAGCACAAAGGATCCTGACTCTCTGGTCCATGTTTTTATTGAGACAAAAGCACAAAACAGCTGTAGATAAGAGATCTTGTCCCATGGAATGGGATGGAGGTAGAGGCAGGCTCCTCCACGTGGTCCATTTTACTGAAGCAAGGAGTTGGGGCTGGGGTGGGGAGTTGTCCTCTATTCAAAGACAAGATAAAGAAATGGGAAGGGTCTAGCCCCCATGAGGGGGGTGCAGGTGGCTGATGACAGACTTGATGAAGTCAGACGTGGTGCTGTAGCCGCCCATGTCCCGAGTCCGAACCTACAGCCAGTGACAAAGCCACCAGGAACAAGAAGGGAAAAGATGGCTAGTGAGTGGGGAGGGTGGGCAAGAGAAGGAAGAATGATGATGGAGGGATGGGAAGGCCACCGGAGGAAAGACGGAGGGCTGGGGAAGAGATGAGGAGGTGCCAAGAAGAAGATGGAGGAGATGGATGATGGGTAAGGCATGGGCCAGAGAGAACAGGCTGCATTTCTGAGCCTCTTTAAGGTGCACAAAGTCAGTTCATTTCACATGATCCTCAGAGCCCACCTCAGGTGGGATAGAGAAAGAGATGTGAACATGGGAACAAGAACAGGCTAAGAGAGCAGCAGCAAAGGGGGATGGGGGTGAAGCCAGGGAGTTGCTGGGGAGAGGCCAAGAGCTAGGGAGCCAGAATGGGGCCAGGAGAGCAATGTCTTGGCCCCCCCGAAGCCCCTTCTGCGCAGGGAGGGGTAATGACTGAAGAGTGTGCAGAAATGGCCCATCCAAACTTACTTTGCCAACTTTTATCACCTTCTTCACAGCCTCAGCAATCATGTTGGAGTGATATTCCAGGCTGCCCCGGGAGGAAAGACAGCAAACTGAGTGAGGGTGAGAACCAGCCTCCACCTCCCACCCCAGCAGCAGTCAGTTTTCATGTTGCGCATGAGGGCGCATGAGGACGCTTGCGCGCGCGCACACACACACACACACACACACACTCCCCTGCGTCCCACCCAGCCCTGGGGCCCAACGCCTACTGACATACTTGAGGTGCTTCAGCATATTGCTGGAAGACAGCAGCATGGCAGTTGGGTTGGCAATGTTCCTGCCCACAGCCTGGGCAAATGGGTGCCTTGCGCCCTGTGTGGGTGAAGGCCAAGTCAGAAGGATATTCTGGTGCTTGGAGACCCCAGAGTGGTCAGCGGTAAGAAAAGGGGGCCCCACAGGTTTTACTCACTGTTTCAAAAACGGCGTATTCAGCACTGTAGCTCTCACCAGGAACCACACCTGCACCCCCAACCAGACCGGCTGCTAGGTTGTCAATGATGTTTCCATAGAGATTGGGCATCACGAGCACATCAAACTGGTATGGATTCTGCACCAGCTGGGGTAAAGAGGAAGATGGTGGGTAGCTGGGGTGACATATGGGAGGCGAGAGTGTGAAGTCAGGGCAGGCAAGGCTGGGGACACTGTACCTGCATACAACAGTTGTCTATGATCATGGTCTCAAACTTGATCTTGGGGTACAGCTCAGCCACCTCCTCACAGCACTGCAGGAAGAGGCCATCACCCAGCTTCCTGTAGAAGCGGCCAGGGACTGAGGTCAGCAAGCTCACCGGCTCGGCTACCCACATGACCTTCCCAGGACCCTGAGGCCTAATCCCCACCCTCCTACACACACGCTTCTGCCCCCATCCTGTGCTTCTCACATAATGTTGGCCTTGTGCACGGCCGTGACCTTCCCTCGACCCTTCTTGGTGGCATAGTCAAAGGCGAACTTGGCAATTCGCTGGGACTTGGCACGAGTGACGATCTTCAGACATTCAATCACACCCCTGGCACTCTGCATGGACAGAAGGAGCAGACTTAGCTAGTGCCAGGTGCAATGGGAACACGATGTCTGTGGAGCAGACAAAGAACTCATCTTCCACCTCATGCTCCAGGGAGCTGTATTCTCCCTCAGTCTGCTCACGGATGATCACCAAGTCCAGGTTGTTGTGTCGCGTCTTGTACCCCGGCAGGCTCTTGACGTGGACAACGTTGGCAAAGAGGTCCAGCTTCCGCCTGGCAGGAGATGGGGGAAGGTAGCATCACAGAGTATCACAGTGCCCAATGTCCCCAGGGCCCGTCACCTCGTACCTGAGCCGCATGTCGTAAGAGGCCAAGTCCCCCTTGTACTCTGTGTCCATTGGGGTGTGAATTTTTCCTGTGAGGGCACATCCAGAGTGAGGGTCAGTGAGGGTCCCAGGCAGAGGTCTGTTCTCTTATGGGGAAAGGCCTCTAGCTGGCATCACACAATCACCCCCAACATCTGTCTGAATCATGCGTCCACCCACCCCTCCATATGAGAAAGCTAGTTAATGTCCCATCATCTTGCACTAGACCTATGAAATGGTCAGAGGTTCTGGTCCTAAGCTCTAAGGATCCAAATAACCTAGGTCCTCGTTAAGACACAGCCTGAAATAACTCCTCTAAGCCGTAGGGCTGAGAGCAGCAGTCAAGTGCAGCACGAATGTGAAATGATGCTTGTTTGTGGGGACTAGGAGATTGGAGACAAGCACATACCAATGATAGCAACCTTGTTTTCCTTCATGGAGCTCAGCACCTGCTCCAGTTTCTCTTCTGAGGCCATGTTCTGCACCTCACTCAGGTGATGCTCTTGAAACTCCACGGGGACATTGGCTGCCTGCAGGTCCAGAAGTGGGAGGTGTCAGTGGCCAATCCCTCAAGCCCCTTTGAATCTGTACCTGACCCCTCCTTCTCACCTTGAAAACTGCTTTGACAGCATGCATGAGCTCAGGCCCCACACCATCACCAGGCAGCATAGTGACAGGGAATGCGCCCTCTACCTTCACATCATCCACCTGGACGGAGATGGAGGGAACAGAATAATGGCTCCTGGGGATGTCTCCAAGAGACTGTGGAGAACTGACAAGGCTGGGCTCAGTGACAAAGGAGCCACTGAGAGTGGACCGAGAAGCACGAATCTGTGCAGACACAGGCTCGAGAATTAAGACAAATGACGGGATAGTAAGCCGCAGCTCGGAGATGAAACTGCACCTCGAGGCTGGAAAAAACCTCGGAGGGCATTGAGGCCAAGGCCTGGGGCAGTCAGGTGGTGCAGTGAATAAAGGGCCAGGCCCATCTTCCTGAGTTCATCACTAACTTAGCTGAGCGACCCTGGACAAGTCACTTCACTCTGCCACAGTTTCCTCATCTGTAAAATGAGCTGGAGAAGGAAATGACAAATCACTCTAGCATCTTTGCCAAGAAAACCCCAAAAGGGTCATGAAAAGTCTGACATGATTGAAAAGATTGAACAGTAAGTAACGAGGGCCAAGCCCTACCAGAAGCACACAGCAAATAATGCAACAAGAATTGATTTCATAAGATTTAAACGATCCAGGGTCTTTTCTTAAAAATAAAAACATGAACAAAAAACAGCCCTACCATTTGTAGAGTCTCAAGGTGTTTATACTGACTCCATCCATTCTATGTTTCCTTCATCTTCCCCCCTCAATCGCCCCTTTTTTCTCTCTAGAATCAACTACCTGCTCCTCGTTTTCAACCACTTCTTATGCAAAGAGGTCTGCATAGCTTCCTAAGATCTGGTTAACTTTAGTGTAGTTACCAGATACTAAATGGGAAAGGACTCCTCATATTTTTGTGAGGATCTAATGTCGCAAGTCATAGGAATATAAAACCTTTATTATCTCCATCTTGCTGATGAGGAAACAGATTAGGAGGGGTTCAGTGACTTACAGCAGCTCATAATGGCAGTGAGAAGTAAACAACCCTGTACCGGGGGGTTTCAAATCCAGGGCCCCCACTCCCCACCCAGTGCCCTTTTCTGTGTACTACAGGGGCCCGTGTGTCTCGGGGATGCAGAAACAACAGCTCATGTTTAGATAAGGCTTCAAAGTCTTCAAACCCCTTTACACCTATTACTTCATGTAAGCCCTGAAACAACTCTGGCAGTATTATCCCTTTGTGGAAACTGCCTCTGCCGACACCACTGAAGCAAGTGCTCCGCCCCCAGGGTCTTTGAGTGCACTAGGTGCCACCCAGGAGGCCTCAGCCAGTGGCATTCAGTGGAACTTGGGTGGTCTTGACTCACAGGCCAGCCCTCTGTCACTATGTCCTGTTGCCCCTCATCGTCCCTATTTTATGGATTAAGGAAACTGGGCTCAGAGAACTGAGTTGCCGCAACCAGTACAAGGGATAGAAAACAGGCTTCCTGAATCCACACCCAGCACCGACAAGCCCCAGGTCATGCTCTCCCAGCACTTGCTGTTGTGGGATCCTGGCACACCTGTTTCCATAGTTGGCTCTGACAGCTGACAGCTGTTGCCTCTACAAATCTCTTGATCTTTTTTTCTCTCTTCACTCTCCCTTGCCAATCTCAGTCCTATGGCTTCAACTACTCCTGCTATACAGATGACTCCCAATCTCTATCTCAGGCCCTGATTTTACTTCTGAGCTCCAATACTGTATCTCCAAATGCCTGAGGGCATCTCCACCTGGAGATCTCAGTAAAACCTCAAACAGGTTGAAAATCAAGCCAATGTTGGAATTAGAGGATCCTCGATCCGAAGCTGGAAAGGACCTTCGAGACCATTCTGTTTAACTCATTTACAGATGAAGAAACCGAGGCCCAGGGAGATTACGTGATTTGCCCAACATCATACATGTAGTAGGCTTCAGAAGGAGGACCTCAATCTAGATT